CTGTATATGCCATCTACAGAATCACATTCTTGTCACTGTATATGTCATCTACAGAATCACATTCTTGTCACTGTACATGCCATCTACAGAATCACTTTCTTGTCACTGTAAATATCATCTACAGAATCACCTTCTTGTCACTGTAAATGTCATCTACAGAACCAACTTTTTGTCACTGTACATGCCATCTACAAATAATATATAGTCAATGTTTATATAAGTCAAATTGTCTCAACGTGTTTTTTTGTATTCAGAAATTCAAAAATGACATTTTCAAATAATAGGTCGCCAGTAAATTTTATAATGTTTAATTGCAGGTCATTCACTAATGAAGTAATAAACAACGTTATTAATTTAGCGATGGAACTTCATAGTAAGTACCCCCATTTCATGAAAGGGTTTGACCTTGTATCTCAAGAAGATGACGGCCATCCCCTGGTATATTTTTTGGAAGAGCTGTTGATACCGACGCAAGCAGGAAAAGATTTGCCTTATTACTTCCACGCAGGAGAGACAAGTAAGCCCGAATGCAGGTTTAGCGCAGAACGTATCGCTCCTTCTATCCCATACACATAAGTATCTCCTTCTATAAGGAATATACTGTAAAATAGTTTATTTTCATTGAAGAGATGAATCAGTGAAAATAAAATCTAATGAAAATACCCCTTTTCCAATATGTTACATCCAACTCATCAAACATTAGAAAAATAAACTTTATATTTAACTGACAGTATGTCTGTCTATGGAAAACTAACCCTGGCTAAAATAAAGTGTTTCATAGTTTGTGATTCACTTCGCGTAGTAATTGGTAGGCTGACACCAGCCACTATAGCATTCTCTCAAATAATTTATATATTTAAACTTATTTCCGGGGTAAACACGGTCACGGTATTGTCACGTTTATATTTCTTGGGGTGGATCGTATTATAAAGAAATGTACAGGTCATGGCAATTCTTTAAATTTATAGTGATTTTAATGTGGTAGAGATGTGGTGTTAGTGTTGATTCATGGTAGTTCAGTGTTTGTTTTCCTTCGAGCCATCTAACGTGGCTTTCATAGGTAAATGGTGTGGCTTCGTTTAACCTATCTGTCAAATAGGGGTTTATTTAGAGCGTTGTTTTGACCTTTGACCTGTGTTTCAGATTGGCAAGGCACTGAGACAGACGAGAATCTGATTGACGCCCTCATGTTAAACACATCAAGGATTGGTCATGGTTACGCTGCAACGAAACATCCTGAAGTGTTATTGGAATTAAAACAACGCGACATACCATTGGAAGTTAACCCCATATCCAACCAAGTAAGTTAAACATGTGGCGGTATTTTATCTTGACAATAAATCCAACCTGTTCTCGGGCCTATACAGTGTTAGGATAA